TGTGGCAGAAGATAACTGGTGTATATGTATAAATACATGAATGCAGTCACTGTTAACTGCAGGCAGAATCACTACCACTGTGTGCTTAGACCTTTAAAAGTCAGAAGAATAACATGGGACAGAGCAGCTGAGTAATGAATGAAGAAGAGTGTTTCTTAATGCATTTGTCACCTATGTAGGACGAGGTGACTTCCCTAACACCCACTGCACAGTTTCTTGCTGCTGCTTTGTATGAGGAGGGTTTTGTTCCATGGTTGGGTGTGTCACTGATATCATAACTGTGGGCAGCATGTTCATATCCATTTCTGACAGGTTTATGTGGCACTTGCTCTATGAAAGTGCATATATGGAAGAGCAGAGCATTGTCAGGGTTGTTTGGGAATAGCAACCTTAAAAGGAGAGCGCTGGTTCCGCTCTGACCCTCTGGTATGTTCAGTGATTGGCAAGAGCCTCGCGTAGGGCAGCACCGTAGCTGTGCCTCGGAATGCTGCAGCATCATTCCCTGCTCACCAGCTCAGTGGGGCGCAGGCAAGATCTGAGGCTTTCAGCCATCACAGGAGGCTCTGGATCTTTTGTGTTGAGCAGAGCCCTTCTATGCTGCACTGCACTGTGGTGTTTATCTGCTCTGCAAAAGCATTTCTCCTCCTCTCTTCCCCGTTTCCAGCATAAACCCTCTATCCTCGCCAAGCCTCACCTGCAGGTCCAGCGGGTGCCTTTGTTTTCATTCATTTCCCTGGGTTGGAAGGCTGGCTAAAGGCTCTCTTGTCGTGACCTCAGCTATGAGAAGCCTGAAGGTTTAATTCTGCATTAAAGATTCAGACTGAAATGTTAATCAGCCCCAGAGAGGCTATTTTTAGAGCTGCAGCCTTGGCTTCCAGTTGAGTTGTTGCAATTAGGATTACTTATGGTTTTACTAATTTAAACAGCTTTGGGGGAACCTGCTGCTTCATAGGGAGAAGCAAGTTGGCTGAAGAGGTTGTGGCACCTCCATCCCTGGAGATACTCAAAACTTGACTGGACATGGCCCTGAGCAACCGAAACTTGCTGTGAGCAGGAGGTTCATTAGATGATCCCTGGATTTCTCTTCCAACCTACATGATTCTATGAATCAAAACTAACATCTGAATAATCCTCTCACTTGCCTCTGTGGTGACAGGAGTCGTTGAAGATAATGTGTATGGGACAAATGACAGAATTACTTTGTCTTGTCTCTATAAGGATCTCCAAGCAAGTTATAAGAAGTAGTGAATGAAGCTCCTCTTCCCTTTCCACCATCAGTAAAGGACAATAAGAAAGAGTTAAGAAAAGACTTGGTTATGATCCCAGTGACAAGATGGGATTAATGTGGTGCTGAAGTACATTAGGATGTGCACTTTATGGCATGGTACACATTAACCTGAAGTGAATCTGTAGGGGCCATGCTGCTGTCTCAACCCTGCGTTTCCCGTGCATGGGGCCTTGGAGGTTTGGGCTTGCAGCTGGTGAATCAAGCAGAGAATTCCCTTGTTAAGCTCATTTTTCTGGGTAGAAACCAGAAATGATCTGGCTGATTCTGGCAACTGAGTCTCTCACAGGCACACATGATGCAATCAAAGTGCAAGTGTGTGCAACACTGTCAACCCCATGTTTAATATCCAATTGCCTAAATGCTTATGAATCAGAGCCATTAGAGGCTCGTGGGGTTCACTTGGTGTTCTTAATAGGGAGTGAGCATATATTCTGAGGCAGCAAACAGCTTGGGAGAGGGATGGGAGTGAGGATAAGGGTACTCAGTCCTTGGTCTTCTGGCTAAAATCCTCTTTGGTGGAAAGCAAGAAGTCAGGATAGTGGGATGGTGACCAGGGATGTAAGCCTATCATAGAAGCAGGTGAGGTGTGAGACAGCAGGGCTGGGGTTGGTAAATGCAGAAATACCTATTTGTGCAGAGCAGGGTGGAAGCAAAGCCAGAGGATCCAGACACAATTCCAGGAAGTGAGAGGAAGGAGGGGCTGTTACCAGCAGGGATTGTTTCATTTGGTAATTAGTTCTTGAATCTCCTCTAAGTCAAATAAAGCAGAGGATGTGAGCTGCTGAGAACTGGTCCCTCCTCCCCTTCCCCGCGCATCCACACCCTTTCTTGCACACACTCTCCCTAAGTGCAGACTGTGGTGATGGGAGATTTGATGGTGGGGACTTGCTGATGATGTAGAGCAGATACCTGGGGGTATTCAAGAGTGTGGGGTCTTCTTCATGGTCTGGCACCCATGAACTCTGTGGCCTTGGGCGAGTTGTTCCCCTGTGTTCCTCTTGTACCTGGTGGATGCGTTTGAGGGATGAAATAAAGGGTCTAATATCTCGTCCATCAAGATTTTATGGTAAAGAGTCTCTGAACACTGAAGAAAAGTCTCTAGGTGAATTGTAGGTGTGCTGGCAGAGTGTCCCCTCCCTCCCCTTTGCAAAGGGCAGTCAGGTACAGCCTGAACAGGTCGTGGCAGTACAGGCAGACCTGCTGCTGGGTGGTATCGTGACCCAAATGAGGCTGGAAATGACTGATTTGTTCTGGTCCTGTTGGTGTTCATTGAGTGGCAGCTTTGTAAATGGCTTTGGGGATAGGTGTTTATTTGCTCTATTCTCTCTGGCCCGGGTTAAGTGGAAGACTGTGTGTGCTGGGATGGAGACCGCATGAGTTCCAGCCCTGCCAGCAATTACAGAGGCACAGTGCTGCCAGGGGGCAGGATGTGACCTAGGAAACAAATAACCCCTCTTCTGAAGGGAAGCTTTCATTCTGTGATGTGTTTCTTGGTATCAGATGGTCTTTGTTCTTATTATCAAACAGTAAGTCCATTAACTTGTGTTTGAGGGCACTGGTGTCGTGTCTCCACAGTGGACCGCATCCAATACCACCAAGAGACTTCTTCATCTCAGTAGGAGGTCTCTGGCAGATCAAACACATCACCTCTTCTTCCTTACCATGCTAGATGGGTTAGCTCCAGGTTGTGAATCCATTATTTAGGGCCTTATCCACCCTGGTCTTAAGCTGCTGTGTATATTAGTTCCTAATGGATGCTGTGTGTTCCAAGAGCAGACAGTGGCATGGGTCTCCCTCTGCCCTTGCTTCTAGGTTCTTGTAGAGCAAAAGACACCTTCTTGAATACAAGTTGTCCTCAGACTGCAGTATATGGCTGCAGCCATTCATATTCCTTTCTGTTTCTTCCTGAGAATTGAAAGGAGCTGCCTCTTTACTACAAATAATGATTTGTAAAACAGTGATATTTGAAATTAGTGGCTGCTGCTGTCTTTGATGTTCTTGGCACTGTTGATTGCTACCCAAAGCAAGCTGGGAATTACAGTCAGTCATTCTCTTGCCTCATAGCTCAAGGCTATATTTAGTAGTTCAAGTTGCAACAGATCTGGAAGTTGTTCCCTTTAGCAGAAGGCTAATGCAGTGATAGAGCACATTGCTTTGGAAGTGGTGGCTTCAGCGCGCTTGTCTGCCACCACCAAGACAACTGAACCAGTCCGTGCAGTACTGCAGCGTTATCCTGACTGCCACAGTATGTGTTGGCTTTAGAAAGGCCTCCCCAGGCCTTTTCTCTGGAGAGAACCTCAAAATCTATATGTTTTTAGTGCTGGACTTCCGCCTGAATCTTAGAGCTTGGTGCAGAACTTCTGCATCTGATTTTGGGATGCAGTAAGTGGCATTTCCTTATGGAGCGGGCAGGGAAGGTGCTGTCACTTAAAACATACAGCTCTCAAGATAGTGTTACTGCAGCATTTTGTCTTGCTGGTTGTGCAGTTGGATCTGTGCTGAGTCTTCTCTCCAGGGCTCCCGGAAACGCAAGAGGTGATGTCTGAATTCAAGTCAGTGCATTGGAGCTGGAGATCCAAGCACATGTGGAAATCCCTGCCTGCACACAGCATTTGCAGCTCCAGAATTACAGGTCTGAGAGCTTCATTGGGTTGTCAGAGGTTTTGAAAGCTTGATTTCAATGGAGTTTGCTCCTAATTGCCACTTTGGAGTCTGGGTATAAATGACTAGAACCAGTAATGGAATCGTATGATGTGTTTCCTGGAGGACAGATGCGTTAGGAGTGAACTGAATATTCCAAACTATTTTTCTTTCCAGTAATAGGACAAGGGTGAAGGCTGTGCTGCTAGCCATTAACAATGCAAATCCATGGGGAGACAGAAGACAATGTTCCTTCCTTCTTTTAGTGCAAATGCAGGTAGTACTGGTGCTGGTAGTTACTCCTAATTTACCAAAAGTAGGATGGAAACTCGTTGTCTATTTGCTCTCCCCTCTTCTCCTTCCTAACCATCCCCGAACCTTCCCCCCTCATAATGCGATGCTGTTTCATGCACAGTCAGTTGCTTTGTGGCTATTGTGGTTTTTTTTACACAGCAACAAGAAACACAAAAACATAAATAAAGGAAAATGTGGTTGTGGAACCTCAGATTTCTGCTGAGTTTGACTAGGCTGCAGGTTGGCTTTCTTCTGAAAGCTGAGAGATTGCCCAGACCAAATTGTCCCTCTTCTCCTGTGCAGGGACTTGAGGCCAGAAGTCTATTTCTGCTACAGATCTTCTGTTTGACTTGGTATAAACATACCACCTATCCCCTCTCTGCCCAGTTGAGTCCCTGTCTGCAGAGCTTTCCTCTGTGTTTGTACAGTGCCTGGTTCAAAAGGTTCCCAATTCTGGTTGAAGCCCTTGGGTAGCAAAAAGAGCGTCACATCAATGTGTAGTAGTAAAGCCTTATATTTAAGAGCAAACCTGGTGTTTTTGCAGCTGAGTGGCTTTCTATTAGTTAGCTAATACATGTCATAAACATCTTGCTACCAGCAAGTCTTTAGAGTATCTATTCTTTAAAGGTAGTGTATCTATTCTTTAAAGATAGAAGACTTACTGATAGCAAAATTATATCAAAACCTAGTATTTTCCTGGCCCATTGAAGAAAACCACTGTCCCTTCTGAGCTGATGTACTTTCAAACTCTTGATTTCCTTCCTGTTTCTTTTTCCAGGGTGGTAAAGGAGGAGATCTCAGATGACAATGCAAAGCTCCCTTGCTTCAATGGAAGAGTGGTGTCCTGGGTAAGTTGGCTTCTGTGTCTGTGTTCATATGTGGTTTGATACAGTGGTAGGGTAGCTGGTTACATGCATCCTGAGTTTTACAATTCTCAATGGAAGCAAAGGCTTACATTTTACATGAGGATTACGTGTGCCTTCCCTATATATCAAATACAGTATTGATTGCATGCTGCTGCTCACAGTAGAGTGCATGTGTGCATGCTACTATTGTGCAGGGAAAGTGCAATGTATCTTTCAAACATCAGTTTGATTGGGAGAGTGTTCTTAAGTAATGATGCCATGTGGCTCATCACATACAGCCCCTGCTGGGTTCTAAGCAGCTGAAAACATTGCTCTTGTGAGGGCGAGTGCTGGCAGATGAATTGAGCTCAGCTTTGTCATCCAATATGATCACTTCTCTCTGCTCTATTGATTGCTTTTGGTTTTAAGGCATTCAGGCTCTGGCAACTGGGTATTCCCAACAGGGTGTTAGTATTAGGCAAGTAAAGCACAGAGCTTTCTAATGCATGGATTTAACCTTAGTCCTGCACACCCAAAGGTGTACAGAGTATTAAGCACTTACGAGGTTTTGTATTAAATTGAGGTCTTAAAAACTTGGAGAATGTTCTCCCTTTGGTTTGTACTCTCTTGGAAGTGATCTGTTTTGTCACTGGGAAATGCATTCAGATGGAAAAGGTGCTTTTTTGGCCTTTGTGCTCCAACCTTTTGACTCAGCAGCAGTAGCTGACTGATAACCAAGGTGACTTCCAGAGCTGGCCATAGAACTCCGCTGTGTATTTCCATTCAGCAGTGGGTGTTAAGGCAACTAAATGCCTTGGTTTGAAAATTAATGAGTGTTTCAAAGCACAGTTATACTGATAGAAACCTGTGCTGCTGGGCAGTGCTCAAGGGGAAGAAATGAACACAATAGGGATCTGCTTACTTGCCCTCACAAAGAGGGGATGATTCCTGCGTGTTGTGCTCCATGGAGGAGTAAATTGGTTGTCGAAAGAAGTGTTTATTCTCTGGAACAAAATAATTTGTATTAAAGAATAAAAAATAATACTTAAATATAGAGACAAACACATGATGGGGTTCACTTTAAGCCATGGCAGAACATAGGTGCTAATGGCCACTGGTGTGGTGTGAGGTCCTGCTTTCTCTGAGGGGCTGGAGATACTGCTGAATATGCTACTTTGAGGCTGTGTTTAAGCTATGAGTCTTGGCGATGCTGGGTTTGTATTCAGCCTGAGGATAAGTGGGCTATAGGTATAGCATGGTTTTCTGATGGGATGGGAATAGATGGTACAAAAAGGGATCTCGTGTGTAATTAGCAAGCTGAAGAGAGCATCCTGAAAGCTTCAGATAATAAAGGCTATGAAGATGTCATTTATGTTGCCATAGCGTGAGAGCAGCGTCTGCTTTAAAAGCAAAGGGATAGAAATGAACAGTAGCTCTTATCAGAGGAGCAAATTAATCCTGAGAACCCCTTTCCTCCTTCTCAGTATGTAACACTTGACTGTATTTGCTCCTCAGTGTTATTCTCTCCCTGTTTCTTCCCCTTTCTCCCATGCTTTTGAACTGGTATTAATTCAAACCCCAGGCTGATGTTCAGATTGCCTTCTGCATCCCTGAGCTGAGTCTCTTCCTCCCAGTGCACGCAGGAGCGTGGTGGTGTTTGTTTTTATCTGTGTGATCTAGTTAAAGAATGATCTTTTGCATTGGTGGTTCAATACACTGATGATTGATTCTGAACTTGTGCACACTATTGGGGCTCTTCTGTGCAGCAAAATAGGACTCAGGTTGTTCCAACAAGACCCAGTGTTCTTGGAGTTTAAGCAAAACCAAATCCCTAACCCCGAAGTGTTCCACATCAATAAGGATATGGATTATTTCATTCCCCTTTACATCCCAATTCTTTAACCTCTTCCTCTTTCCCTTTCCCAACCAAAAACCTGAGGGCATTTGATCTCAAGCTGAGAGCTGAATTCTTTGCTCAGCTTCTTAAATACTAGGAAGCATGAAAATACGTTCTATTTTTATAAAGGAGGATACAGAATCATGGAATAGTTTGGGTTGTAAAGGACCTTAAGATCATCCAGTTCCAACCCCTTGCCATGGGCAGGGACACCTTCCACTAGAGCAGGTTGCTCAAGGCCCTGCCCTATGAGTAGTAAGATCAGAACAAGAGTATATATATATACATGTACACATACACACACAAGTTAAACGTTGGTTTAGTTCTGGGACTGTTACTATCTTATTTTCAGAGAAACATTACAATTTCTGAAGTGCATGTTAGGAATGAATCCAGTTCATTGTGAGTCCTGTTGCACCATAGCTTGCTGGCTGCTTTCCAAACGTAGAAGAATGCAGAATCCTTGCTCCAAGGATTTGTACCTTCTTTCAGATCTTGCTTTTTACATTACAGTTTTGCTTGGAGGCTACAGCCAGGATCAATGTCTCCACTCTTTCTCCTTGAGCCATTTACATGTGCATGGCTGGGGACACTGGAGATGCCCCAGAGCCCTCAGTCTTGTGTTTTCTTTATATCTTAATATTTAGATGTGTGGCTTTAATTGTTCCAGGGAATTAGTGCTGGGAGCCCTTTGAGTTCTCTACCAGTGTAGGCTCTTGATGGCCTCTGCTGCTCATCAGCAAATGCCATAATGCATTAAAACCCCATTATAAACCCATTTCTAGGCAGAGGCAGCGAGCACAGATTGTTGCAGGTAGTAGGGATACACTGCTTCAAACGACTTGGACTCTTTACTCCCTTCCCACCATCAGCTTGTTCCCAGATTGCTCTGCTTATCCCACTAGGTTGGAGGCAGTTTGCAGCTCTCTTCTCAGAGATCATACAGTGCACCTTTAGCAGCTGCTGGTGACAAGGACTTCTGTTCAACCATCAGCTGAAACATCTGTGCCTGACCTGCATTAGGAATTGCAAATGACTGTTTCCACACCGAGACCCGTGACACTGCAGTGCTTATCTGCATCTGTGTGCTGCTAATTACTGGAGGAGTTTTATGTCAATCTTACTGTAAGTTAATTGTTCACAGCTTCAAACCCTTTAATAGCATGTTCACTGGAACTTCACAGGTAATTGTATCTGTGTCTTTCAGGGGAGCAAAGTTGGTCTTCACCTTTTGGAATGGATGTGGTTTGGACAGGGTTGTTTCCTCAGCTGGTGTTTAACATGATGGGCCTGAGCTTTCTTTGTTTCCATGTTCTAACATGGGCATCGGCTGGTAGCAGCCAGCTTGGAATTCTTGCACAAACCCATCTGGGATAAGTGTCATCCTCACTATAAATGTATATGTGTGTGTTTCATATTGGGATTGAATTAGAATCACTGCTCCTATTTAGCTATTTAAACCTCCTCCCATCCCTCCTGTGTCCTGCTTAGTTTCCTCCTCCTCTTCTTAGATCTCGGCCTTTTGATTTTGGGTTGGTTTGTGTTTGATTTTTCTCTTTGTGGATTATTATTTGGTTGGTTGGTTTGCTTTTAAGGATTGAATGGTTTGGAACAGGGGGCTGCTACTTACTAGATTCATTTGCAGTAGTTGACCTTTAGGTTTGTCATACAGAGACTATTGTATAGCAGAGTTCTTCAGCTAGTAGCTATTACTGTAAATGCATTACACAAATGCATTTTCTACATGAGGTAACTGGTGCCTGTGCCTGTTCTACTCACACACACGACAGGATCCAGTTTTTCTCAGAAGATAACTTGTTTTGAGCTTCCCTCAGTGAAATGATGAATGTATTTCTGATTTTCCAGGTTCAGGTCCTTACTGGGCAGGTTGGAAATGCAGCTTATACAGAGGAGAACACATCACCCCCAGCTTTTTGCTAGAGCTGGAAATGCTTTTCTCTTCTCTTTGCACTGTCCAGGGGCAGTCTCCCTGGACTTCCAGTCTCCCAGTGGAAGCTGGGAATGTGGGGAGCACTGGCTGGTGGTTGCTGCCAGCCTGGAGTGAATGGAAATCCACACAGGCAGGTGCTTGTTCATTTCTTATGTATGAAGTGAACTGATTTCAAGTCCTGTTTCTTCTCTTCACAGATTATATGTATCTTCTTCCCTAATGGTTAGAGCTTAGAAGGAAGGGAGGTAGGATCACTGAAAACATTTCTAAGCTTTATGGTACCTGAATGAGTTATCAGGGAATGATCTGAGTCTTAGTAAAGGGGAATGAGATTGCCCTAAGGAGCAGCCGGGGCTGGAGTGGTGGGATCTCTGTGAGAAAGAGATGGGGAAGAAGGAAACAGGTTATCATGAAGTGGGGGGGACTTGGAAAGAATGTGCTGACTGAGGAAGCTTCACAGGTCTACCGTCGTCTCTTTGCTCAAGTCATGTTGGGTGGTTCTGGTCTGATGTGCGCAAGAGCTCTCAAGTTAGATTTAATCCAGGTCTGAACTGAAAGATGCTGTCCTGTTTCTAACTGTGAGCAGCACCAGGCAGAGGAAAGGCCTGAGGCAGAAGTACTTGCTATCATGGCAGCACCAGGTACACCCAGCTCAGGGCTCTGCGTTGCTCTGAGTACACAGGAACCTGGTTTTGGCTGGGGTGAGGAATGTGTAAGCTCTCAGCATCAGCAACCTGCTGAAAAAATCTGAGAAGGTGAGACATGAAATAGGATTATAGGATTGCAGGTCCCTTTTCTCCTCCTCTTCTTACTCCACATGTTCTCCAAGAGGCAGGTAATCCTGTGCTTAAAGAGAACTTCCTGCAGTGTCAGTCAGTGAAACTGGATTTGTTTCACAGCTAACCTGTAGTACAGTGCCATAAAGAAACACCTGGACACTGAGCAGAATCTGGGAGGAATCTGAGGTACTATTATTTCATGAAGGCACAATATCTCCTCTAAACGTTAGCAGGTGGCAGATGATAAAAACACAGAGAGAATGGGCAATCTGATTTTGAAACCCAGTCTGCATCTTTCCATCTCTAACACTGAAGTGGGTCACCCTTTACCTGGCAGCCACAGGTTCCTTAAAGTCTTTTAGCTTCTGATTTCCAG